TTCTCTAGAAAATGCAGGAACGGTTTCTGGAAAGGGGTTCACACAATGAGGTGAACTGGTCCCAAGCAACCAGCGAACCAATTTCCCACTTTAATCCCAGCTAGCCCATGGTACAGACCAGCAATTCCATCCACCTGCAGGGTTGTATCATTCCGTAAGACCAGAAAGATTTTTTTCAGTTTTGTCTAAATCAGCAGTGTTTGAAATACCTTGATTAGAACATGGAGGAGCTTCTGACAGACTACATCTTTAAAAACTGTCCGAAACGTATGTTTTAAATATGCTGAAAATGTATGGTTACAATGGAGGGCCTAGGTGGTGCACATGCCTAAGAGGCCAGGCCAGGGCTACCAGCTGGAGTCCCCCGCAGTGAGAGGCACCTTGGAAGAAAGGCCAAGTGATCTACTTCCAAAATATCCAGTCACGAAAACCCCTCTGAAGCACAGCTTTACCGACACACCTGGCGTTGCCATGACTTGGAACTGTCTCCATGGTAACGGGCTTTTAAATTGAGTCTGGGATTTTGGTTAAAAAAAATGTGCATGTTGCAAAGATACAACCTCACATGGCTTGCTTTGGGATGGTTTCTGTTGTAAACAAACATCACAGGGAATGAGACTATCCCCTTAAGGAAAGGGTCCCTAGCAGGCCCTCCAGTAGGTCAACTGGCGAACAGGCAGGACAGAGCTTCTAGAATTGAATATGAGCACAAGAGTCTTCAGGGTATCTCTGTTCCACACGGACAAGGTTAATGCTTGATTTTATTTTTTTATGGTTTTTTTTAATGCTTTTTTTAAAAAGAAGAGCCGGCACAGCAGTTGGATCTCTGCTTCCATCAACGTGTTCTCTCCTCTTTCGCAACGCATGGTTCACTGACATGAAATGAACTCACATCCTAAGGATGTTCTCGCGTCCCGGGACGTGACACGCTGTAGGAATACGCTGCTGTCACACTTGGCCTCAACGCTTTGCCACAGAGCTGAGAATGAGTCACCATTGCCTCTTTTACAAAAACCTGACCCTAATTAAAGCATTCTAAAGAACACCTTAATCACCAGGAGGCCAAATGTAAGTAGGTAGAAATGGGAAGTGAATATACGCTTATGAACAATTCAGAAAGAAATGAAGTCAACTCTAGAAGTTGTCTGAGTTTCCTGAAAGCCTTGGAATAATTGTTAGACCGCTCAGGAGGCTTACAGAAAGCAAGTCTGGGGTTTGGACAGAAAGAAGTCCCTAGCTCCTCTTCTTTTCTGGTCCGAAATATTTAAGTGGTATCATCAAACTCACTACAATTCATTAGAGAGGTAGCAGTTTTTGCCTACAGACAGAAAATAATGTAATTATGGGGAACGTGATATATGATTAAAAAAAATCCTTAGCTTGTTTGATAAGGAACTCCCAGGGGGCGCAGTGGTTCAAGTGCTCAATGGCACAATGGAAGGTGTGCAGTACAAGCCCACCAACAGCTGTCAGGGGGGAGGTGAACGTCTGCTTCCCTAAGGACTCCCAGCCTCGGGGTCCTACGCCGCCAGACCTGCTCTGAGCTGACAGGGTTGCTCAGAGTTGGAATGGGGTCAATGGCAGGGGGTTGGTTTGGGATTTTGGTCAGCTTGTGTCATTGTGCATTTACAACAAACAAACATATTTCAAGATATGTGGAGATAAACTTTATCAATTTAACTATTAGAGATTTCTCATGCTCATTCCAAACTTATTTATAAACAAATGAAATAGTCCCCCCCCCCTTTCCATTAAAAAGGGAGCTGATTATATGATTTTAAAAGAAAACCCAACAAAGCATTAGCTCAAAAAGGCCATGGTTTGCAGCTTCGCTCCTGATTCTTAGCCTTGTCATGTTACCAGTTACCAGTCCGGCATTTTTGAAGGGCATGATATCGTATACATAATCAAGTTTTTACAGAGAAGATCCCAGTAGCAGCAGGGGAGCCAGGGGGTTCACAATCACAACTCTGTTTACATTTCCATGATGAAGGGTTATAAGTTACTCGTTGGTCTAGGAGGGATTGTAGGTCTCATCTCGGAAAGTATGGGCTGAGCCTGAATCCCCCTTATGGTAGGAAAAGGATGCACATTATGCACATATATGCCATATTCAAACACGTCTTCGTTTACTGGTCGTCACAAAGAATTTTGATAAAGGTAGCACATCTGACTTGAAGACACACTAAAGGATCAATGTTACTAGTATAAGTATAAAGAGAACTATGACTTATATCATTTGCTAATCACAAATCCCTATAAAAAGGTGCAGTGGTTAAGCTCTCAGCCGCCAACTGAAAGTGAGCAGCTGCACCCTCAGCACGGTGGATACAGAGATGCAGCTGTCTGCTCCAGTCACCATGGCAGCCTTGGAAACAGGGCCAGTTACTCGGTCTCATAGGGTTGTTATGAGTCAGAGCGAACTCAACGGCCACTGGTTACCTATAATGATGATGGATGAATGAGAGTTTGGATGACTTCTCTTTTAGATCCTATGTGTGGTGTAGTGAGAGCTGAAGATCTTTTTCTTCAGGAGTAATTTGTTCATTTATGGAAGGGGGAGTTCATTATTTCGGGTAATTCTTTATGCCTGAATCTATTACATATATATATGAAACAGGATTAGAATTCCAGTTTGTTTCATCAGCAAGTCCATGTGTTTTAAATCATTGAGTTGAATAGCTTTAATCCCTACAAGGGTAGAAGAGATAAATTATGGTACATTTTTGGATCGTTTCTTTTCTAAATAGATAATTAACATAATAGATTGTCAAAACCATTTAAATTGTTTTCTCTTTCGGTATCAATATATTTATTTGGCATATGATTATGTTTAAAGTTTACAGGATCGTTTGTGGAGCAGCCTCAAACTGAGCACAGTGACATTTCTAGGCATCAAACCAGGTTTTGAGCTCAGGCCACAGGCAGTTTTATTCCATTGCAGCTGTGCTGGTGAAACCACGATTCAGAATTAATTAGATGGCAGTGAGGTTTTTCTTGGTTTTCTTTTTACGTCAAAACCAAGCCTTGGAGGGGGTCATCCTAGAGAGTGGAACTTATTTCCTTCTTTGCCTGGTTTCACTTTGCTAGGCATCTGTGATAACATGACTCACTTTGCACTCATGAAAAATGTAACTGAAAAAAATTAAATAAAGTTTTAAGATGCCATGTCTTTTCTTTCCAATTGGAATAAGTCTAATTTCAGATCAAGAAGTTAAAAAATCATAATAGATTAGCTATAGTATGGAGCAGCTTAAATAGGGCAAATTTAGTTGAATCTATAATAAAATTCTCTCAAGACTACTTTGTTCTTTTTATATCTACTTTCCAAAGAAGTCAGATTCGATGCAGTATGCCTAAGTATATACTTTCCAAAACTAGGTTTAAAAAAGATACATAAATAATTTTGTGAATCATTTGCATCAGTGCTTAGAACATCTGAACAAATAACTTAAAAGTTAATATAGCTCTATAATTAAAATCAATTAAAACATTTATTCTTAACTTCAATATTATATTTTTTGACTACATTGCATCCCTTTGGTGTATTCTACATGGTGGCTCTTTGCTTGGGGATGAAGGGAAGTGCTCAGAATTTATTGAAACAATTGTTCATTGTGTTCTGGATCAAAATGATCTTTTGATGTCCTGGAATCTCCAAAAACGTATGAACTGATGCTTTGAGAAGCTCAGCTGTGGGCCGATCATTATTTGTTGAATGGGTGTAATTATTGTGAAGAAAACGGGTCCGTAAGTCTTGTTAAATCTTTTATCTTTTAAAGTTGGCTTTTGTCATTGTTTCAACCACCATGTGGCGTCACCTGACACACCCAGGAGAACAGAAAGCAAAGGGCACAGAGGCAAGGCTCTGCGATCCACCGTACACGTGAGATGAACAGTAACTACAGTTACAGCACCGTCCAGGATGAAGCAGAAACACCAAGTAACCACAGTACATCCGGAAGACGGGCTTAGCAATATGGTCACTGCAATGGTTCTCTTCCAAATGATCCCATGCATGGAAAAGACAGGAAGATGATCCATGGAATCGAAACCCAATATAAAAATTTACACATTTGTTTTTGGATAGCATAGAAACAAAGCTCATGGACTTGTCTAAGTTTGGAGACCACTCCTGATGCTTAGAACAAGGTCTGCTTCATGTCCTTAGAAAATGAAAAATGGTGCTTCTTATAGAAAGGATTCATCAGTTTAAGTTATCGAAAGAGAGACGGCTGCTGATGGCAGGCCACAGAATCAGTCCCTAAGTGCCAGCTGTGACAAGAACTGGGTTCTTTTTTTTTTTCTTTTCACACCCACTTCATTTTCCTTTTAACAGAAGGAAAGCCGTACATGCCCAATACTGGCATCTGGAAGTACATACGTAAGGCAGCAAAAAGCATCACCCTAGGTTTGGCAGACTAAGTAAGGTCCACTTTTGGCTACACTCGCAACCGGCTAGAGCCAACAGCATTTTGCCACACAAGATAAAAAAAACACAGATGCACACCCAAGGAGGCAAGTGAGAAACCAGGGACGTGGCAGTGTGTGACTGCATTATGGGAGCAGGCTACCCAGGAAACCACCCGGTGCCAATAGGTGGAATTCCAGTCAAGTGAATTAAGGCTACTATAGAACTGGTTGAGATGAAGCGTTCATTCCCGTGGAGCAGTAAGGGGCGGAGTCACTCTTGAAGACCCAAGGATGAGTTTAGAGGAAAAGCGAGTTCTTGGAGAGAACGAAGCACACACATGCACGCTGTCTCTTAGGCGAGGAAGCTGGAGGAAAATGAGAGGGGGAGAGCGGGGGTGAATAAGAAAAATCAAAGCAATCCAACTGCAAGGCCAGGCAGGTTGTTTGCTTCCAGTTCACAGTCTCGCAGTTAGTGGTGCGGGAGGTCTGCGAAAGTGGTGGAGAGCACGCAGGCTGCCCCAAAGAAAAGGGGAGAAAGAGTGGTCACATGACAACACAGCATTGACAGCGCTTTTTCTTTTGGGTACCTGGGGCTGGCTCTGTGGCCAGGCTCTCTTCCTTCCCTTCTGGGGATGAGGGCTCGGTGGTGTCTGACACCGGCCTTCCGGAGACAAGCTCGGCTGCATTGCCATCAATGGTGGACACGTCCGTCACCGTCTTCTCCCTCAATGACTTCTCATCATCTTCGTCGATGAGGACCAACTCGGCCTTGATGGTTTCATCGTAGCCTAGCACCTTTTTGGTCTGCTCTTCGTCCTCAATGTTCTGGTAGCCCATAAAGATCATGGTGACTGGCTGATCCGAGTTTGCCTCCGGCCCTCCGGCCCTGGGGGCGCGGGCCTGCTGCTCCGCATCCCCAGAAGCACGCTCTTTCCTAGACTTATGGACCACTTCTAACTTGGCTTCTTTGCAGAGCATGTGTTCCTTAGGGTGGCCCAGGCTCCCATCTGCAATCACAGTCCTCTCGGACACAGGCCCGCCCCTGAAATTTGATTGTCCAGCCTTCTGAATAAGCTCTTCTACATCCTTTGCGCTTAATTTGTGCACTCCGTTTTCTACTACGGTGCCTCCTGAGTGCACCTCATAGACTACTTTGGTACCGTCATCATAGACCTTGACTCCTCTCTGATGGACCCCCTCTGGGCCAATGGTGGACGCAGAGAGAATCTTGGTCTCTCCTGTTTGTTTGTCTTTCTCCACATTAATTTCCATGGCGTACACAGCTTGAATGAAAACAAGAGAAAGGAAGTGCATGTTACAACAACAAAAGCCAGTGAATGGTTAATTGCCAAACAGACCAAAAAAAAAAAAAAAGGTTCTGTGCCCTTTCTGTTCTAGCCACCAAGCGTCTTGGGTGTTAGCGTGAGGTGCATTGTGGACAGAGGTGGTTATAAATGCATTTGAGCACAGCAGCTGGACGGGCTGGGAAGACAGATGCACAGAGCACCCTATCTCAGTGGCACTCACGCTTCCAAGGCAGATCTGCTACGTGAACCAACCCGCAAGAGACGGTGTAGGTCGAGTGTAATGACTTACAGTGAGGTTGGTAACATGCAAACTGACCTAGGCTTGCAAACCAAGGTTGATTGAGGGTTCATCTCAGGTTTATGGACTATGGTGAAGCCCTGGATTACCGTGACCTAATCCTAAAACCTGAGATCTTTGTTCACACTTTCCCCAGTCTCTCTCTCTCTCTCTCTCTGCCTCCTTACCTCCCCCTTTACTGTAAAGAGAGAACATGCAAAGAGTTTTTCAGGTGGGACGCGGTGGTCTGCTACTGGACTACAGATTAGGATATTGACAAGAAATGCACACGGTATGAAAGTAAGCAGTTTCTAGGGGTGGTGAGTTCTCCAGTCACGTTGTTCGGCACCTTGAGTAAGATCTAGAGCTGCGGTTCTCAACCTGTGGGTCGCGACGCCTTTGGGGGTTGAACGATCCTTTCATAGCGGATGCCCGATGCATAACAGTAGCAAAATGGCAGTCATGAAGTAGCAATGAAAATAATTTTATGGTTGAGGGGCCACCACCACATGAGGAACTGTATGCAAGGGTGGCGGCATTGAGGACCACTGCTCTAGAAGGAGCCAGAAGTAGAACTGCCCTCCAACACTGGAGTTTGAGAATGAAGATCACAGAAGGGCTACTTCCACGCATAAAACTGAGCCCGGTCCTTGTGACTCGGTCCCTATATTATCTTTCCCATCTCTTGTCTGTTCCACCTCCACTGCTTTAATCTTAGACCGTCGTTGCCTCTTCCCTGGGTCCCTCGGAAAGCTCCCTCCCTACCCTATCTTCCTATCCCAATTCACCCTAAATCCTTCCGCCAGGCGAGTGTTCCCAAAGACCGGCTCTAACTCTGTCATACAGATTCATGTGACACTTCATACGGTCAGGTTTCTTATTTGTCTTGGGCTTTCTTTGAGACTAATCTCCCTGATGGGAGGAAACTGGATGTCAGATCCAAAGAACAACAATCCCAGGCCGCCTTAGTTTCAGAACAGCACCTATCACAACCTCCCAAACTCTCTCTAGTCCTGGTTCCTGACACCAGCAATATTACCCAGTCTCTCTAACCAGACACCTCGTCACTGCCCCTGACTTGTCTTTCCTGATTTCCCACGTCAATCGATAGTGAAGGGCAGCTGATTCTATTTAAACCTATCCCCTCATCCATCTGACCTTTCCCTCTATCCACACTGCCTTACACTAGCCCTTCTCTCTCTCTCTCTCTCTCTCTCTCTCTCTCTCATCATAACCTTGCTTCTGATTTGACCTGCCACTTGTCTCCTTCCCCCTAGGGCAGCAGTCTTCAAACTATGGCTAGTGGGTCCAATACAGCCCAAGGACTGTTCTGTGTGGCCGGAGGAGCTAAGAATGGTTTTTATATTTTTTAAAGTTTCTTTTAAAAAGAAAACAAAAGATAAATATACTACAGGAACCATATGTGGTTCATAAACCCAAAGATATTTGCAATTTGACCTTAGGGGGAAAAAAACCCACATTTGCTAACCTCCCCTAATGCGTGCACCACACTACCTACAGAATTACCTAACTCATTAAAAAGCAAACAAACAGAACCTCACAGCCATTGAGTCGATGTTGACTCAGAGGGACCCTATAAGAATGGGTAGAACTGCCCCCTGTGAGTTTCTCAGACTGTAGTTCTTTATGGGACCAGAAAGCCCCATCTTTCCCCCAAGGGGCTGCAAAGGGTTTCTCACTGCTGACCTTGCCCAGCACCTGTACCCACTACATCACCGGGGCTCCTTCCTCATCAACCCTCTACTGATTCCTGTGTCTGTGTACGCTAAACACTAACCCCAGCACCTGGCATGCAGTTCCCTTTAGCATCTGATTGATCTGCAACCTTCTTTTGAAGCCTCCTTTTCTAACCCCACACATTCGCTGTTCTCAACGCCCTGCTGTCACGTCAAACCCAAATCATAGCAAACCTGTAGGACCGAGGAAAACTGCCCCCATGGGTGTCCAAGGCTCTACATCTTTAAGGGAGCCGAAAGCCTCATCTTCTTCCCACCGAGCAGCTGGTGGTTTCAAACTGCTGACCTTTTGCCACCAGGGCTCCTCATTGTGTGGGCACACTGGCCACAGCAAGCTTCTCACTATTCCCAGGACACCCACTCGTCTGCCGGACTGCTTGCCCTGAGCCTGCTCTCCTTCTGCCAACACTTCTTTACATCCCTTCCCTCTGGAAGGTTTTTTATTTTTAATCATTTTATCAGGGGCTCTTACAGCTCTTATAACAA